AAGTTGTACGTGTGGCTAGTTGTACCCTCATCATAATTGTAAATATTGTTAATTATCTAATAAAAAGCCCCTGGCCAAAGAGGTCACCTTAACACCGAAAAAAAAAAAAAAAAAAAAGTTGTAGAGACAGTTTTTCTGATTCTAACAGTGGTTAAATAATCAAATCTAGCTTGGTGAATCACGAAATATAGATATCTTTATCTTTGTGTCTATATATATATAAAATTTCTTTACAAATTTGCAAAAAAAATTATATATTCGAAGATAAAGATAACTATATCTCGCGATTCACCAAGCCGATTTCGATGATTTAACTACCATTAGAATTAGAAAAACTGTCTCTACAACTTTTATTAGAGCTTAAAGAGACCTTTACTTGATAAAAAAAAAAGTTATATATATCAGGAATGCTAATTTCAATATCTATAATAATACTTATAAAAATCATTTCACTTTTTATTAGTAAAATTATTCTTCCACTACTACGAATCGTCGATTAAATTAAGTATAAAAAAAACAAAATTTAATGTAAGTATAAAAAAAAATAATTTAAATACAAAAAAAAATAAATTATAGTAGTATAAAAAAAATTAAAATGAAAAAAAATTTGAATATAAAAAAGAAATACAAAAAAAAAATTAAATGCAAAAAAAAAAATTTTAAATGAAAAGAATTAAGTACGGAAAAAAATTAAATATAGAAAAAAATTATAAAAAAAAAAAATTTAAATATGAAAATAAGATTAAATACAAAAAAAAAAAAAATATATAAATACAAAAAAAAATTAAATACATAAAGAAAATATTAAACATAAAAAAAAATTAAATACGAAAAAAACTAAATATAAAAAGAAAAAAATTAAATACAAAAGAAAAAATTAAATACAAAAAAAAATTACGAAAAAAAAATTAATTTAAATACGTAGTGATTTATTTCATATAATGAAAGTGATCATCCAATAGGAAGGGGGAGAAATTAGTAAATCCGTGAAGAAAAAAATAGACCGTTCATTGCATCACGTGTGTTTTTTTTTTTTTTTTTGCAAATATACGACAATTGATATAACTTTAATATTATCAGCACTTTCTTTGCGAGTTTGCGATCAATTATCATTGGCGAGAGTAAAGACATCGAAATATATAGTAAAGGCTTTGAGTAAAAAAATATGAAGCAGTCAAACAAGTTGGAAACCTGGGGCAACGAGGCTACCATGAATTTAAACAATATTCTTTATCAGAATATTCAAGCCTCACCTTATTTCAAGCAACTATAGTGAGTATGTCTTAGCAGGATAATTTTTAGAAATATTAAACTTCTAGTTTTTGATCCTAAGTTCATCATGACTATACTTAGCGAGTTGAAAACGTATCACGAAGTGATTGATGAAATATATAACCACGGTGAGAAATTTACTATTTAACGGCTGATTTCCATACTTAGAGTGTACATTAACGTATTTGTTTATTTTAATATTAGTCGAGTCACTTGGTAAGTAAAATTTTTTAAAAGATTTGATCTAATTTCTTTGTACGAAAAGTTCTACATTCTTTCCATTTGTTATAGAACCTTTCCTTAAAGGAACGACAGCGTCGACGGCCTTTTGCCTGTTATATAAGCTTTGGACTCTCCGATTAACCGTCAAACAGGTGACTGGCTTGATTGAACATACTGATTCTCCGTATGTATATTTGTACTTCAAGGTTTTGTCTTTTTTTTTTTTCTTTGATTTTAGACTAATCATTTACTTGTCCTTTAAAATCGTAAATTCAATAGCCACATTAGAGCTTTAGGATTTTTATACCTTCGTTATGTTTGCAAGCCAACTAACTTATGGGAATGGTTTGAAGGATACCTGGAGGATGAAGAGCAAGTACAAATTCAAGGAGGTCCACGGCCGGTCTCAATGTATGTATGTTCTATGAAGTATATTCGTATACTCCGACTATTCATCGTGAGTCTGTTCATGGTTGTGTGGTGATTATTTCTTACAGTTGGGATCTAAAGACGTATGTTTCTAATAACACATTTTTGAAAATCAGAACTATCGGTAAAATGTGCCGCCAATTGTTAACTGAACAAAAATGGCTTGGTACTATTTTACCTCGCATCCCCGTACCTATCGCTCGCGATATCGAACAAAAAATCAAGGAAAGATTACAACCACCTCCTCTACCAAGGTAGGCATAGGATTTTAATATTTCCGGTCAATGCTTGAATTGTTTTTGTGTTTAGGTTGCGCCTTTTGGCTTTATAACCCACATATGCATATAAAAGCGACTGGATATAAAAGTGATGATTCCTAGGGAATGAGGTAGAAAACGAAAGAGAAAGTTTTTTAAAATACATATAAAGATATGATTTCATTTCATTGCTGATGTAATTTCTTATGATTTTTCTTAATTAAGGAGGGAATCTCCATCATATGATCTTGATCCTAGGGCATCATTAGAACGTTCTGTGAGACGTATCGACGAAGGAAGGAAGTATCGTACTCGTACTCGTAGCCGTAGTCCTGATAGAGGATCTTCAAGAACAAATCGATACCATGATCATGATTATGATCGTCGCCGGGATCGTGATAGAACGAGAGATTATGAACGCGAACATCGACAAAGTGAAAATCGCAGTAGGAGGTACAGAACTCCAAGCCGTGAACGTAGGACAGAAAGGGACCACGATCGCCGCGGTAATTAAACAAATGAAGAAATACACTGGATATATGCAACGGGCTGCAGCCTATATTCTTTTATTAGCAAAATTTATATTGCTATTCTTTATTATATATTATATATATATATTTGAATAAAAACCATATTTTTTTAATTATTATTGTCTTTGCTAGAGACGAGTCACTAACTTTATATACTTAATTATTGCATACATTTGTACCATGCCGCATACGAAAACATTCATTACTGTATCGAGACAGTAAAGATATCCAATCTATACCATAGAGTGACAATTTTTTGATGCTTGCATATCAATTCTGTTTGGCCAATTTTGATGTAATTGATTAATTAAATATAAATATAAATACTGAAATATATTGATTAATTAAATATATCTCTTTTTTTTATACGTATTATATACGTATTATATACATTATTAACATTAAACGCCAATTTTTTGATCTTTATACAGTAACCTTTTTAAACTAAATAAAATAAACAAAAAAAATCACCTGATTAAAATGTAGAACAAAAAATCTATCAATAAAGTTTGATTTAACTTGTTTTAAGAAAATTATAAAAATTATAAAGTTTTTACTACGTAACGGTAATAAAAAAGTGGATGCATCTTACTGCTGATACTGTATAAACTTTATATCCTATTAAAACTTTTATATTATCTGTTAAACAAATATATCACGTACGTTATATATATACCTAAATATAAACATTAAGTTCATTAAAAAAATATTTAAACGCGATAAATTAGATTTTTCTAAAAATCTATACTGACTATTTTTTGCATCCAATACTTTACACATAACTATATACTATAGATAGTATTTGCCCAGTACAGTATCTGGCACAAAATAATTTTTGTTTAAATATTTATTCTAGAACGAATCGGAAGACGCTAAATTTCTACGCAAGATGATGTTAAAATTAATAAAAAACAAAAAAATTAATTTTTATAATGTTTTGTTCGTCCATCATGCAATGAGTTGATTTGATTGATTGTAAATAAATTATATCCTTTAATATAGATTGCTCTTCGAGTTTTACCATAGCATTTATTTTCAAAAAATAATTAATATTTAAAATATGCTACATTTTATGTTTTATATATGTATACATAAGTAAACCATGAAAACTTAAATCTATCAGTCGTAAAAGTATGATCATTATATTGATAGACAGATTTTGCCTTGTGAAACTGCATATTTCTCTTGACGAAACACAAAAATTCCAGGTCAAACTTGGGACTCGACTCGCATATCACGTGTATCTTGCATTTAAATGTAGCCAAAAAAATGTGTATTCATGTATATTCTGCATGCATATACATTTCTTTAGTGCTATATTTAATATATAGGTTGCACATGAAATGCGAGTCAACATCCTAAGTTTGATTTGAGACCGAATACTCTACTTTTGGAGTCGAGTCGAACCGGACCGAACTTCTAACATTCTTATCTATATTGCAACAAATCCCATGCTTTTTATAAATAATTTTCAATCAAATTGTAATAATAAGAATTGAAGCAAATCGGATTACAATAGCATTTCCACAATTAAAAAATAGGTTAATTTTTATAATGTCAAATGACACTTGGTATTTTCTAAAAACCGCTACGAAAAATACATATTTTTTCTAATAATGAAAAGCATTTAACTTCATGGACTTTGACTTCTATGACGATCGTAGATTCTATCATCTTCGTATGTACTTTTTCATCTTCGTATCTTCTTTTTCGATCATAATTCCCTAATCTCTTGTCGTGTTAGTTAATGATCACATGGATTAACCAATCAATCAGAATTTTGTGAGCAGTAGAAAAAAACTTCTCACGATCAATAGAAAGTGATCTCGTAAAATTTATATACAAATTTTTAGAAAGCTCCAATTGTTGTATCTAACGAGATGAAAGCTTTAATACCATTTCCATTCATTGCTGCGATGATTGTGATGTTTTATTCATGATTATTAACAATTTCTTTAACTGCAGGTTTTGCACCGTCATGAATTCTTAAATCCTAAGATTATGGCATCAATTTTATGATTTCGGGAATGGGTGTAATTTTTTTAATGCAAACTCGGTTTTCTTTATATTTCGAAATCGCTGATTTATTCACCTGTTTATTTTATATATTAGCGATAGTATATATTCTGATAAATAATATATATATATACTTTTTATCTGTTATATAGTTAGAAAATCGGTTGTTTGTAAAAAATTACTATGACCATTATTATAATAGCAAGTGTTTGTCGCTATCTCTAATTATTCTGTTAGCGCTTAGAAGCGATTGTTAATGCTTGGTATGTTCTCAACGTTCTCAGAGAACACTAAAAACGATCTCTATTTGAAAACATTAAATTTTTTGTATAAAACATTAAAAACTTGAGAGAACATAAAATCTAATTGAATTTCATACACTGGTCTTAAATATCTTGAACTACCTGCTGCACGGATTTTATTCTTAGTAAGCAAGACAACTACTCACTTGCAATTTCATTTGATTAATCTCTTCTCAATTGCATAAGGGTATACCTTTCGATTTTGCAGTTGTTTAAAAAAAAAATCAGAATCTGATTGGCATTGATAACGTCAACAGAACGAATAATCTTAGTTTGTCATCATATATATATATATTTTTAATGTTTAAGATGAGACCTTTGTCATCATATTTTAAAAGAACGTGACAGCAAATACCATCATATAATAATTACTAAGCCATTTCAATTAACTACAGATGCCAACTATTTTCATCGTCTTAACAATTAGTATTGGTGAAGACAACAACGCTATGCAAGGAAAAAATAAAAGAGTTGTTGAAAGAATTATTGCTCATAAATTTATTAATGTAAGTTTTATGATTGTAGCGTATTTTTCTGTAATCAATTTTAATTTTTTTTTTTTTTTTACAGGGAAGTGTAAGCTACCTGGTCAAATGGAAGGGTTATCCAGATGATGAAAATTCATGGAAACTTCAAGATGATATGTAAGTAAAACGAAAATGTATTTTCAAAAAAGAATAGATTTACTATCGCAAAACTCTATAAAAAAATGATTCTTTTCTAAAGAATTAAATATGCAGAGTTAATTGAATATTATTGGGAAAATTTTGAAAATCATCCATCATCAAAATCAATATCCAAAAAAGTATCACCATCATCAATGACAACAGATTCGACTTTACCATCCCAATCTATTATCGAAACTAACTCTTCAAAAATAGTTGATGGATCAGGTTCCGAAACCGTTAACGTGAAAGAAAAACAGAAAGAAAGCAATAAAATAAGTAGAAATTCTGGAAAACATCGCTTAGGTGATAACATTCCTCGATTTTACGAACCAGATTGGGATTCGCACGTTGAATGTATTGAAACGATTTATCATGATGAATCTAGTAGAGATGTCTTGGCTATAATAAAATGGTCTTTTTTTATTATTATTAATAATTATAAAGTTAAACATTTTTTTTTAGAACAAATGGTCATTTTGCGAACTAATTTAGGAAATCTCATAAATTACGGACTTTACATAACATTGAAGAAGTTAAACGCAGATGCCCTCAACAAGTGATTATCATTTTTTCATACTGTTATCACCATCTATATTATAATAAGAAAAGATTTTCTTCACTGTAGATAATTCGATATTACGAAATCCACTCTCATTTCAAGATCTTTAAAAGTCTTTAGTACTGCGATATTTTTGCAGCTATGATTTATTCTCAAGAAATCATTCTCATTTCAAGACCCTTAAGAGCCTTTAGTACTGCGATATTTTTGCAACTATATGATTTATTTTATTCTCATTTCAAGATCCTTTTTGAACTTAGTCAAATTATGTAACTGAAACATCAAATCGTGATTTCTTACGTATGATGTACAATGCAATGCAAATTTTTATTATAGAATATGTATAATAATAGCCAGTATCCACTTAAAATCAACAGATTCGGCCGATTGGTTCGTGCCATGTGTGCGACAGTAAATGACGACATTTTGATCTATATATAATAATAATCTTCGGATAATAATACTGTACCTAAAGTGCACAATTACGTACTACAGTACATCACGTGAGTAGGCACAATGTCTTTATACAAATTTTTTGAGAAAGTCCCGGGGTCCTTATCAATAACAATGTTACAAATATTACATACTGCGCTGTAAAGTGTGCTTGTAATATACATGAACTTCTGAATAGATAACGTAATTAGCAGCACAGAATTTCTCAATTTCACAATATTTTAATTACACAGGCAAGTAAGGGATGATATACAAAGAATATAGGGAGATTAATGGATAATATACAAAAATAACAGATATTAATAGATTATATACAAAGAATATAGAAAAATTAATCTTTTCTCATAAGCTTGACACACCAGACCGCCTGTAATCTTCGCAATCTTTCCAAAAACAAGTATCGCATTGAACATGAAATTCTAGTTCTGATTGTATATATCAAAGGCAACTCATGAGAATTTTTTTTTTTAAGAATTAACCCAAATGTGGAGAAATTAAAATGATTAGTAAAGATTAATGAGTACATTCCTTTTTGGAATTTTGGAAATATCTATGTGCATGTACGTGTGAAGTATTTAAAGTTTGATCGTCTTACAAAAAAATCAAAATATCGGAGTTTTATTATTTCTCTTTAATATGTGAGACGCGGAGTTTTCTTCATTGACAATTAACGACAATGAATTTGTGACCGTATTTTTATTAGCTTTATCATAATGCATGCTTTAAAAGTATTTTTGCAACGAAATAAAGACATATTTATAGAAAGGAAGACGGTTTCTACAGCTTTTATTGGTTTGTTATTGCGTCTTTTCGCGTACTCCGAAGTACCAGTAAATTCCATCTATGCTTTATTCTTTTCTCGTATTTGTACTCTACAATGGATTCGTTGTAACGCGTTTTAAATATAACCAAATTTAATTGTTTAAAAATGTGTCAATTACAGGTTAATTATTTTAGCATACAGTAACAGAAAAGCTATCGGATTTCTTTTTACGGTGTCACAGAGAGTTTATTCCAAATTTGATTAGGAAGTTCATATTAAGAACATAATAGAATTGTGATACAAATAAAATTTATTCCATATTACCAATCGCATAATCAAAAGGGAAGGTCCGAGAAGACTCCGTGGAATTTCCTTAAACAATGAAAATCGGATAATATTGTCACACAATTTTAGTGTAAGTTTTCATGCGCCAAAATCGTATCACACAAAAATATCTATAAAATCTTGTCATTTTTTGATTGTCCTCTCTACTTTCAATTTTTCTTTCATCATCTCTATTAGGCGAGCGAAATGATGAGAGACATAATGTCTTAAGTCCCATTCACAAGTTTCAGCAACCATCATTAGATGACCGGTGACGGTTTCTCGAGTAACCCCAAATAGTCTTATTATAAGACCATTTTTTGAACGGAAATTGTATTGTAATTTTAACTAAAAAAGAAAAAAAAAAAAAAAAATTAGAAAAATTTTAATAAAATTGTAACATCAGAGAATATATATATATATTTACCTCTTT